ACTGTTCAACCGATGATCGAGTATAATCGATGATCGTGACATCACTACCTTTGACCTCTGACCCCCAGCGTCGGCATCCCACCTCGTTTTGACGATCCCCCCCAACGACCCGAATATCGTGACCGTACGTCGAGCGGTTAAGATTTGTGCCCAACTGTTGACGGACGGACGGACGGACGGACGGACGACCGGACGGACGACGGGACGGACGGACGGACGGACGGTCATGCGATTCTACAAGCTGCATCTGACTATGTCAGATGAGCTAAAAACAAACGAAACGTAAAACAATTCGCAATTCCATAGAAGCTGTTTACTAAGCACTCAATGATACTGATTTGTAAGTGATCACAGAGCCCCGCTTGATTACATAGCTTACTAGGTAGTTTCTCTTAAAAGTATTGCACTTTGTATCGTACTGTGAAAGCTGTATTGTGATACGTATCGTACCGTGAAGGCTGTATCACGATAGATATCATATCGTAAAGGCTGTATCGTAATACGGATCGTATCGCTAAGGCTGTATCATGATACTGATTGTACTGTGAAGGCTGTATCATGATATGGATCGTATTGTGAGCTACCCATGTCGTTCCACACCTAATCGTTACCTACCTGTCTGGCAGATGACACTTCAGGTCAGAGACGACATATCCATCGGCGTTCGGTTCCATTTTCACTGAAACATGTCAAAACACCATCAGGGGTAGAAATTAACTTGTGAATAAGGGAGTCTAACGGACTCCCTGCCCTCAAAAAGAGGGAGTCTGCAGTCTGAAGTTCAAAACTAAAGATATTAACAATAACGCATGTGACGTGTCTGCATGGCACGTCTGCCGAATTTTCTTTGGACATTTGCTGAAAAAATTCGGTAATTCCGCAAGGCCGTGCTCCGGAATGAACTAGTTTGTTTAGCAGAATTTTCAGGGAGTCACACGGACTCCTGCATATGTCAAATCCGGGAGTCCGACAGTAAATCAGGGAGTATTTGACTCCGGACTCGCGTTAATTTCGCAACCTGCACCATGATACCTTAAATGCTGAAATGCTGATGAAATCGACAAGACAGTACCTGGCTTGCTAGACTGACTGCACTTTCTAACTTTGACAAGAAAAGCACATCAGGGCTACATTCAATAGACATGTCATCAAATGGACGTGCAGTGCTTTATCAGTTAAGTTACGTTTCTAGTGCCTCGATACTGTGCATTGCTACCGGAGGCACCCGTCTCTATTACGCAGTAGTACCGTATTATACGTGACTGTAATTGCCAAATCATAGCTGTTGTTACTGTTGTGTTAACACATCTGTTCTATGAGTTAGACGAAAACGTACACTGTGGCTCGGGAATCGTGTAGTAACTCTGCAGCGCCTGGTCTTTAGGCATCGGCTCTGCATTCGGGTCCTGGCACAGGTAGAGCAAGCTCGCGAGGTCACGGATGCGATCGGCCAGGCAGCGCTGCTTGAAGTCAGCCGCCGTCCATGCTGCCAGGTGGTACACGCCCATGTGGTCTGCAGACGACAAGAATTCTCATTATGCAAACTAGTAGGGCGGATAAGCGCATGGATCGTGCACTTTCGGTTAGAATTGTGAAACTTTGCACATGCGTACTACAATAGGTCCTGAAGATTTTCTATTAGTGCCAATAGAACAGCGCCACCTGGCGACATACAACCAAATGGAGCAGGAGAACGAAAAATATGAATGCTGGGATACGGTAGATGAACATAAACCAACAGTGAAAGAGAATCGGAGAAAACGTGAATGCTAACAGGTGGGAAAGCGAGTACCAGAGAGAAGGCGAATGCTCAAAGGTGGGATATAGCGGGTTCTAGAGAGACGAGTGCTAAAAACCGTTGTGCGATTGAAATAGAGAGGAAATTTAATTGATAAGAGCAATAAGAAATAGATACTAGCATGCATCTTTGTACATTTAATTATTATTTCATATTGATAGCTACAACTAATATCATGAAAGCAGGAAATAAATATTTAACTCTGCTCAAACTGATAATCCAATCCTAAACTCAATGAAATGCCATTCAAAACATCGGTACTAGCAAGCCAGATGACAACAGCTCCAAAGAGATTAGTCAATAGACCCCAGTTGAGTGAAGTACTAACCACATAAACGTTACGATTTAAAATCTGATGGGGGGGCCATGGCCCCCTTGTGCCCCCCCCCCCTTAGCTACGCCAGTGATCAACTCGTCTCTTTCCGTCTTAGATGTAGTCCCTTGAACTTTGAAGACTATTATTTACGAGGTTACGAATGGTATATATTTACTGATAATGCCCTAATTATTATTCGCATACCGATATCAATCTTGTAATCACTATTATCATAAATGTCTGTATGTCCTGCTATTATCCTGAATGTATACCGCGAAAATTTATGCTAATTATTTCCACGCTGATCTGTACTTACGCTGAGCTGATATCGTATTTACTGTTACGTATCCTAAGTATATACCGCGGAATACCGTGTTATTTCCATAAACAGATATCATACCTTGTAATTGTTATTGTCCTAATGTTTTCTGTGGTATGTCGTGTTAATTATTTACATAAACCGATATCATACCTTGTAATTACTTTCATCCTACAAGCATATGCTGCCAAATGTTCTGTCAATGAAATGAATACTAATATCACATCTTGTACTTACTATTATCCTACATGTATGCTGCCGAATGCCATGTTATTTATTTGCATAATTGATGTCATCTATTATAATCACCTGTTTCCTAAATGTATGCCGCATAATGCCATGTAAAATATATGCATAATGATATTATATCTGGTAATTATCCTATTGTCCTAAATGTATGCCGCGAAATGTTCCACAGTGATACATTTCCACAGTGATATCATATGTGGTAATTATTATTATCCTAAATGTATGCCACGGAATGTTATGTTAATCATTTCCACAGTGATATCATGAATGTGTGAACACGTGGAAATGAAGCCACGCCTGAGGCATTGCCGCACATAGAACAACTAATGACACCCGCGATTGAAACAGATAAAACTAACATGTGATTACTACTTCATTTTATTCATTTTCCAATTTAATACATGCAATTGTCTTATTAAAAAAATTCTACTTTTCTACGCACTGGTATGATTACTAAGAGTAAGAGCAATATACTCACTAATCACTTCATTATTAAGTAGTTGTAACTAGAACGTATACAAGCAAAGTACTGCTGCCCAGTTAGTTGCTGAAATTTTTTTAAACCCTGCGCTGTGGTTCTGGTAAGTATTCCCACAATACGGCACAGTTGCACTTCTTGATAATGTCTTGATAATATACACGATACATTGACCGAAAGATATATCCACACACACCCCCCTTGTCTACATGTCTCACTGTGTCAGCTTCCACGCTGATGGAAGGAGCTCCAGTAACACGATTCTACTATCTATGATATCAAGAGCTAATAATACCTTATTATATTCATTATAATACCTAAAGGTATTATTAGCTCTTAATGATATATTATTTAGAGTAATTAATAAGTGTGCGGGCAACATTGACTGCTCTCACACGGCACCGAGTACATATCCGGCCACTATCTAAGTTGTCATACGCTGGCTATACACAACAAACAGCGATGCAGGGGTCATCAGATTGCATTTGTGAATCCATTCCGTGATAAATTCAAATAATACCCGCATATTATTAATCATACATAACAAATTCGCATTGTCATTTCGTACCCTGACAGATATAAAATATTTGGGCGTGCTACTTTGTAACACAAAAATTACTCATCGGCTCTAGAAAAACTACGA